ATTGCACCAACAGCTCTGGTATGAGGTGCGATTAATCAACACTTCCAATAAATCTTTTAGTTAAAGTGCGAAACGGTATTGCATAGTAACTTTAAAGGTGAATATTAAAAGTGCGCTTTCCTTTCTTAGTATTCCTTAAGAGTCCATATCAGTTCACGAAATTTTTGGGCTCTTTTGCTGTCGCATAAAAGCAAAATTCTTGGTAGTAACACAGCGTCAGTGGGACAGCCTCTCTAGGAAACAAAATTAAGATGGCCTCCTTTCGAGGGCTTGTGAGGTCCAATAGGTATTAATTTGCCACCGAAGCAAGTTATATTTTTGTAAAACTTGTCCTTAGCTGTTTTATGTGTCTTTAAGGATTGGTACACGGACTGGGTGATAGCCATTGCATTTTTTGCAGGATTGAATAAGTGTGTGATGAACTTCGTTTAGATCAGTGCCTATGCGCAGACACTGTGGGGCGAGGTACAGCACCAAGAAACAACACTCAATGGTTTCGCAGAGGCTACCTATACTGCTTGTGGCAAGTTTTTTCCAGTTTCTGCTCCTTTGGAAGCAAAAGAGGATTTTGGTCGACAAATTTTTAGTCCAAAGAAATTTGAACCCCCCCCCCCCAGAAGTAGTACTTCTTGATAGTGCTTAACAGGCTAAAGTGTACGGCTGGCTTAGCAAAGTCTCGCGCACACGCCATTGGTGCTAATTTATAACATATTCGAGATTCATCTATAACTCTCGCAAATGTATTATCAGCACTGGCTTATCTTGCAAGCCAGGAAATCAGATCTCTTCTAGAGTTCCTCCTCAGAAACTCAAAATGAGGAATCATCGACTGCCGCCAACGGACGCCGGATGTTGGCAAAATATATTGTTAATTGGGTGACTGCCGATAGATTTAAAAAGTGCTCGAAAACCGCTTTAAATGGTTAATCATAATATATAATAAACATAAAATTATTTTTGAAAACTGAATGAACAGGAGTGCTTCGGCCCAACAATTCGCAGACATTTCTGTTCAGCGTCAATGCGACGATTGTACTGTTCACAAAATAAACCCAGGCTGGAACGCACCAGGCGGGCCGGAGCGATTATGCGTTTTTGCACTTTCGTACCG